TCCTGTTTACTTAATCGGTCGCTTGTGTTAGACGGGTCCGAATATTGGTCCACGCTGTCCGGTCCTTGCTGTGTGCGCTGTGGCCTGTGTCACAACTCTCAGCTCTTGTTTGTCTGTTATGCCGGCTCTCAGCTTTTGTTTGTTTCCTGTCCGGGCTCTCAGCCCTTGTTTGTCTCGTGTGAAGTTCTATAAAAGAAAATGTCTCGTGTGTACGTGTATATATATATATATATATATATATATATATATATATATATATATATATATTATATATTTTGGTAGCAGTCTTTCCTGTAGACATATATTATTAAATATGACCGAAAAAGTAAGATTAATAATTCTAACACGAATTTTCTCAATCTTTCGTACATTACGCTTCACTGTTGGAGGTAAATCAAAAATTAATTCTCCAAAATTCATTTTTATTTCTAGTCTGACGCGACACGGGCGCGTTTCGTAAAACTTATTACATTTTCAAAGACTTTAGTTCACAAATACACAACTGAATAGAACTTACGTATCTCAGATTTTATATCTACATTTGAGTGAGGTGGGAGGGGTGATGTGGCATTAACACAAGACAGAACAAGAGGGGATATTAATAGGGTATTAAAAGTATCAACACAAGACAGAACACAAACAATGGGTATTGAATAGAAGTGTTTGTAGAAAGCCTATTGGTCCATATTTCTTGATGCTTCTATATTGGAGCGGAGTCTTGAGGTGGGTAGAATATAGTTGTGCAATAATTGGCTGTTGATTGCTGGTGTTGACTTCTTGATGTGTAGTGCCTCGCAAACGTCAAGCCGCCTGCTATCGCTGTATTACGATAGATACAGCGATAGCAACACAGAAATCATCGATAGATACAGCGATAGCCAACACAGAAATCATCGATAGATACAGCGATAGCAGGCGGCTTGACGTTTGCGAGGCACTACACATCAAGAAGTCAACACCAGCAATCAACAGCCAATTATTGCACAACTATATTCTACCCACCTCAAGACTCCGCTCCAATATAGAAGCATCAAGAAATATGGACCAATAGGCTTTCTACAAACACTTCTATTCAATACCCATTGTTTGTGTTCTGTCTTGTGTTGATACTTTTAATACCCTATTAATATCCCCTCTTGTTCTGTCTTGTGTTAATGCCACATCACCCCTCCCACCTCACTCAAATGTAGATATAAAATCTGAGATACGTAAGTTCTATTCAGTTGTGTATTTGTGAACTAAAGTCTTTGAAAATGTAATAAGTTTTACGAAACGCGCCCGTGTCGCGTCAGACTAGAAATAAAAATGAATTTTGGAGAAATAATTTTTTATTTACCTCCAACAGTGAAGCGTAATGTACGAAAGATTGAGAAAATTCGTGTTAGAATTATTAATCTTACTTTTTCGGTCATATTTAATAATATATATATATATATATATATATATATATATATATATATATATATATATATATATATATATATATATATATATATATATATGAGTGTGTGTGTGTTTATAATATGCATTTCTTATTGGTGCCTTCAGGATTGAGCTGTTAGCTCTTGGACTCGCCTTTCTAACCGTCGGATGTGTAATATACTAATTCCAGACCTCTTGTCTGTCATATATACTATCCCCCCCCCTCTCTCTCTCTCTCTCTCTCTCTCTCTCTCTCTCTCTCTCTCTCTCTCTCTCTCTCTCTCTCTCTCTCTCTCTCTCTCTCTCTCTCTCTCTCTCACACTAGAATTCAGCCAGCAACAGGTGACTAATTCCCAGGAGCTTCTGTTTACTGTTCGGTGAACAGAGGTACCAGGGGAAAAAAACTCTCCTCATTTATTTGCCTCAATCGGTAATCGAACCCGGGTTCGTGGAATGCGAATCTTGCATATATTTTTCCTCCATCTTTTCAAGGTTCCTTTTTTTTGTGCTGTTACAGATAAATCAAACATCTCTTTACTACGTTCCTTCTCTTTTATCTTCCAGTTATCATCTTTATTCCCTTGTCTCCTTCCTTTCCACCCCTTCCTTTCATCCTATTCCCTCATCTATCCTTTATCTTCTCCCTTCCTCTCCTCTCACCCTCTTTTCTTCCACATATCCTTGCTTCACTCTGCTCTCCCCCTCAATCCCTCCTCTTCCCCTTCTCCCTTATATGCTTGTTCGTCCCCTCATGTTTTAATAATTCATGGGAAACTGTGAGTTCTGGAGGGGCGTGGGTCCCCTCAGGGCCTCGAGGGCCTCAGTCAAGTGTTACAGTGACTCCCCCTGTTCAGCAGTTCTGCTAGCTGGGGGTGGTGAGTAGTTGTTGTTGCTAGTTGTGTTGCTTGCTGGGGTGGTTAGTAGTTGATGACCAACCAATGTGTCCAGGGGCTCAGGGCATTAACATCCAGTCTAACCTAGGGGCCCGTAGCTTAAACACCCTATTTGGCCCCGGGGCCCGAAGCTTCTCCTCCCTACAGGGTGATCTGAATCTATCACACAGACTGTGGCTCCCTGAAAACCTCTCGTCCACAGGCTCACAGTCGTATGATCGTGGGGTGTACATCTAATAGAGGGAAGACAAACATTTACCAGTAAAGCAGAATGCAATGTGACCTCACAAAGGTAAGAGAGGAATGCGCAGCTACATTGCGAAGTCTTGTCTTGGAGGTTGCGGCGCTGGGTGCCCTGTGTCCTGAGAGCTCGCTTTCGAACACTATTCGTCTTAGGTTTGTGAGAACTGTTTGCTGTCAGTCTCCGTCGTGACTTGGAGACGATATGCTGAAGGTAGGTCACAGGTATGCTGTTAGGACACAGGTTCACTGTTAGCACACAGGTGCGCTGTAAGGTCACAGGTGCGCTGTTAGGAAACAGGTGCGCTGTCTTGAGACATCATCTGTAATTACCTACAGAGCTCCATCGCACTCGCTTGATGGATAAGGCATTGGGCAACCGCCTCTCTTAACGAAAAGGTCGCCTTTTGTTCGTTTATAGTAACCAACGTTAGACCTGCAACCTAGTATGACAAGTAAATGCTCACCAATATTTATGTTTTCTATGCATCTGACTTGATAGGCTTGGGGGGTTGCTTGGGTTAGTACCCTCCTGGTTTGGTTAGGAGGTTGGATTTTTGACGGAGTGGCAGATTAAGAGAACGGGCTGATTAGACAATGATCATAACATATGGTAGACTTAATGCCACATGTATCCCCAGTGATGTAGACCGGCCGGATATAGTCTATCCCTATCCGGCCGACTAAGGGGGACACTTAAACTCAGAATCTTTATACGGAAGCAATATTCGTATATCCGTACATTTTTTAAAATCTTTCCGGCTGACAATCAACGTCATATAACGAGGAGTAAATAACTAAATCTGAATTAATTTTCTCTATTTAGTGTTCGTCAGCTGTTCAACGTTTATTTTATATCTTTTAAAATATTTATTTCTTGAGTGACTGCGGATGGGTGGAGCCTGAGGGGGGGGGGGGGAGGAGGTAGAGACGGTCACCCCTTGTCTGGGTGGGGGTTGGGGGGTTGGAGGCCCGACACTCACCTGTTCTAGGCCGTAGTACTTACCTGTACTAGGTGAGTACATCCGTAACTCATTCTGCCATTCCTAGATGGCGCTGGTGATGCTCTTGGTCACGCATATGTGTATTAGGTGGCAGCGGCGCTGTTGGTAACTCAAAGGTGACTTTGATTGTGCTATTTTGTGCTCCTAGATAGTCACAGATGCCGCTGATGTTTACGGCATGATAGGCTCATTGTGGTTCTTCAAGCTACGAACTATTTGCCCTAATTGCTAGAGTCGCCGGGGCTGTAACAACTGACTAAGAGACGATCATATCGTCACTTAACCTGGTACTCTGGTGATGTTGTTCTTAATGACGATTGCCGCTCACAGATGGCGCTGTAGTGATGTTTACAGTCACTCAAATATAGCTCTAAATCAACAGGTACGAGAAAGCTGACATTAATTAGCTGCTATATATAGCAACATAAAATAGCATCCGAAACAATGGATACATAATTAGTGAATTTAGCCTCAAAAAATTCCTTGATAAATACTGATTTGGAAATGGACTGTAAGTTTATAAAACAAATTACCTGGTAACATAATCGACATGGAATCTGTGCACTGTTTCGATCGCAGGATGACATACATAGAAATGGGTTCGAGTATTAATAGGAGCTGCCTCACATAAATCAATTAACATTCAGCACTTTCCACCATTTTTATGTTCTTGGGCCGTAACGCTGCTGTTACTATCGACACACAGGATTAACTGTTACTTCAGTATCACCGTCGCTAAGCTCAACACAACCCCCACGGACCAAACCCAATCGCATTCACCTTAATGCGCATTCCTCACCTTAATCGCATTCCTCACCTTAATGCGCATTCCTCACCTTAATGCGCATTCCTCACCTTAATCGCATTCCAACCTGTACCCTGAATACCTCTTGTGCCAGTGTTAATCTCACCTACATGTAACACAACTAGCACTAGTATTTACACCCTTCCCCATACAACCCAACTAGCACTAGATAATAGTACCCACCTCGTAAAAAAATTCAACCGTGAACCGCTACCTATAAACTTCCACACCCCACCACCCTCAACACCCACCCCCCTACCACCATAAACACCCGCACCACCCACCCCTCACCACCCTCAACATCCACCCCCTACCACCTTAAACACCCTCACCATCCACCCCCACCATATTCTCCCCCACCGGTGCCCCTAACGTCAGCCTACCCGACCCATCCAATAAAATTACGGATGCAAATTCAGGTTGATCCTCCAGCCTATGGCCCCTGCCACTTTTGTTCATCTCTCCCGGAGAGGCGGACACGGGGGAACGTGTCATTTTAGGATCATTTTGTCTTATCTCCGTCGTAGGCTCTCCACCCATCGTGACCTGTGTGGGTTTACCCTGTGTTGGGTCGCTCGTTTGGGGAACTTGGTCTTTAGCGGCGGGAGAAGCTGTGCCACTTCGTTTGTCTTGGGTTCAGGAGTCTTTGTTTGGGTTCTGATTGTGGTCGTTTAGTTGTGTTCTGATTGAGGTCGTTTGTGTTCTGATTGTGGTCGTTTGTGTTCTGATTGTGGTCATTTGTGTTCTGATTGTGGTCGTTTGTGTTCTGATTGTGGTCGTTTGTGTTCTGATTGTGGTCGTTTGTGTTCTGATTGTGGTCGTTTGTGTTCTGATTGTGGTCGTTTGTGTTCTGATTGTGGTCGTTTGTGTTCTGATTGTGGTCGTTTGTGTTCTGTTAGTGTTTGTGTTCTGATTGTGGTCGTTTGTGTTCTGATTGTGGTCGTTTGTGTTCTGATTGTGGTCGTTTGTGTTCTGATTGTGGTCGTTTGTGTTCTGATTGTGGTCGTTTGTGTTCTGATCGTGGTCGTTTGTGTTCTGATTGTGGTCGTTTGTGTTCTGATTGTGGTCGTTTGTGTTCTGATTGTGGTCGTTTGTGTTCTGATTGTGGTCGTTTGTGTTCTGATTGTGGTCGTTTGTGTTCTGATTGTGGTCGTTTGTGTTCTGATTGTGGTCGTTTGTGTTCTGATTGTGGTCGTTTGTGTTCTGATTGTGGTCGTTTGTGTTCTGATTGTGGTCGTTTACCATGTGTTGGTCCCAGATTCCTTTTTAGTTTGTTATATTTGCGGTGTTTGATGCTATATGATTCTTCTCTTATTACGGGATTAATGACCCACTTCGCATGATATTAGTGAGCCAAGAGTCAAGACAAACGGTGATTGGTTGATACACGTTTTCATCCTGAAGCGTCCCATTACCCCCAGGGTCATTAACCTTACAGGGGGCTAGGGGGGGAATTGAGGACCCTGACTACCCAGGGGGGGAGGGGAGCAAAGTATTGGAGAGTGTCCCAATCCTCTAAGAATGAAGCGTTCTGTCATACTGGGTTACAGAGCTTTATCCCCTCTGGTTTGGCTCTTCCTGGTGAGAAGTCGAGCCGTAGTTGCTACTCTGACCTAATCGTAAGGTTATATATATATATATATATATATATATATATATATATATATATATATATATATATATATATATGCAAAATATATTATATTTCAATCAATCTTTTTAAATTATATTGAAGATCAGTCAAATTTCTCCAACATAAATTCAGATCTTCAGTTATGTATATCAATCAAGCTTGTATAGTTAACATATAAGATGCGTTGTTCTAGTAAGCAGGAATATTCCTTGAATTATATCAGAAAACCAGGCGGGCTTTTCTAGAATGTTGAGCGAGTATTAATTTAACTAATGCGAAATTTTGGTTTGAGAATAAAGAAATATAGTTCCCGTGGCGTAGTGGTAAGACACTCGCCTGGCGTTTCACCAGCGCTTTGGCCTCGGTTCGAATCCTGGCCGGGGATGATTTATTGGGCACCAATTCTTTTATTAACTGCACCCTCTGCTTACCTACCAGTAAAATGGGTACCTGATTGTTAAACGACTTGACGAGGTCGTATTCCGAGGAATATTTGGATTAAGGATTTCTCCGAAACGCTATACTTGCTAGTGGCTGTACAAGAATGTAAGAACTCTTGTTCTTACATTTATGCATGTTATATTAATGCATAAATGAATAAAATATATTCAGCATAGGGAGTGGCAGGCAGGTTTGCTAGCACCACTAACCCAAGGTACTCGGCGGCCCGGATTGCAAGTGTGAGCAGGATCATGGCACAGACTGTACTTTCCTTCACACTGTAAAGTGCTGTATCGTCACCATCTACCGCAGGGACCTCGCCAGCTGTACCGCAGGGACCTCGCCAGCTGTACCACACCAGCCATTCTCGCTACAGTTTCTCGCTCATTACACCACACACGTTCACCACAAACCACCACGACAACCACACATCACCACACACTTACATGACCACTCCACACCACCATGCCACCTACACGTTCCCCTCTGAGAGGCAGGACCAAAGAGCCGAAGCTCAACCCCCGCAAGCACAATTAGGTGAATACAACTAGGTGAGTACACCCGCTACACAGCAATCACCACGCTACTCAATCCCTTCAGCAACAGCACCAACAGTCTGACCTATCAACCCACCCCTCCAGCACAAGCTGTAAGTCATATAATGACATATAACCCCGGATATAAACCAATCGGCTGAATCTTCCATACATTAGTATATAAATGAATATTATTATATATAGCGATTTTATGTATAGGTTGGTGAAGGTAAGGTTAGGTGTTTTGGTTACGTTAGGGAATGTTAGGGAATGTTAGGGAATGTTAGTTAAGTTAGGGAATGGTAGGTTAAGTTAGGGAATGTTTACAACACTGGCTGAGAGTGACGTGAACGAATCCTGTCTCAAGTCATAATTTCGAACATGGTTAAGTGGATTCTAAGTGAAAATATGGACTGTAGAGTTTAGTAAGTCAGTATTTGTCTTATACGCTGTGGACTCGAGTGTGGACTTCTTTGTTTTGATGGCTGGGGCAGAGACCCAGGTCTGGTCAGCGTCGCTGTGTCTTTCCAGGCCATTCTCTGTCACCTTTGACTTGAGGCTTCGAGAAAGAGGTCCTTCTTGGAGCACCAGCCATTTACCCTTCTTCCTAGTGTTCAAACCCACCACCCTAGTGCCACCTCTCACCCTTGTGCTACCCTCCTCCCTCTAGTGCCATCCTCGTCACCCAAATGCCATCTTTACACTCGTTAGTATTCACGTTAAAACTTACACCATCTTCATATATTCTGCACAGGTCCTTCACACTGCCCGGAAGTTCTCAGCCAATTAAACCATTAAACAAGACATTTTCTCACTTCAAACCAACTTCTTGGAGACATTATTCTCGTCATTATTCTGCTTCAGTTACCTTTCCTTATGTTTATTATCAAGAAAATGAAATAGTTTACAACGCCATCGACAAAAAAAAAAAAATGTTTCACGTAATATAACTCGGAATTATCTTATCCCAAATAATTTACTCTCTGTCTCTTTCTTTCTCTCTGTCTCGTTCTTTGTCTGTCTGTCTGTCTGTCTGTCTGTCTGTCTGTCTGTCTGTCTGTCTGTCTGTCTGTCTGTCTGTCTCTGTCTGTCTGTCTGTCTGTCTGTCTGTCTGTCTGTCTGTCTGTCTGTCTGTCTGTCTGTCTGTCTGTCTGTCTGTCTGTCTGTCTGTCTCTCTCTCTGTCTCTGTCTCTCTGTCTCTCTCTCTCTCTCTCTCTCTCTCTCTCTCTCTCTCTCTCTCTCTCTCTCTCTCTCTCTCTCTCTCTCTCTCTCTCTCTCTCTCTCTCTCTCTCTCTCTCTCTCTCCTGCTTAATCTGGAACATCTAATCTCCTCTACAAGTCCTGTACAGGGTCCTACAGTCTCTCCATCACTATAAACTGTTGTGCTTCCCGGTTGGTGGTCTCATTCTATTACACAGTTTTCCCTGCTCAAGCTCACCCCATTTTTCATATTTTCTCAGCCATCACCTGAGAGAAATTTGTAGTCAGTTCAGCCATACACGCGCTCCTTAAATCCACACTGCTCGTCTTGCCTTCAGGCTTCTTAGAATTGAGTCTATCGTTTACTACTACGAAAAAATGCCTCACTTGATGCACTTACAGGTTATTGTTTCTGTGAAACGTCATTGTTCTTTAATATCAACTGTATAGAGCAAGTGAAGAACATGTTTCACTTTGTGTTCGTCCAGTTTACGTTCTCTTTCTTTACAAGTTGTTCCATCTTTCACCTTTGTCCAATATGTTCTGTCTTCTGCCCATCAAGACTCGTGACCACTCTATTTGGTCTCCACGAGATCACGGTCGTCACTCTATTTGTGGGAGCGTCAGGCGAGTTATTTAATGGATCGTCGCCTCTCCCTCTCTGTGTGTCAGACACTTGCTGGGGACGTGTCTCAGTGGCAAAGAAAGTATCACCTTGCTGAGCTATGAGGCTGAGAGAGCATCTCGCATCTCTCATCTCAGTGCTGTGGAGGATATGTTGGTTACCAGGGCAAATTCTTGTCCTTCTATTCAGACGGATGACTAACAATTTTTACCACTAACTGTTTGACACAATTTTACATTCAAAGGTTATGCAATTGGTTAGCTCGTAGCTAGAACCATGTTGGTTTGATCCTGAATATATTGCACTTTTCTACCAACTCTATCCCCTCTTTTTTTCTAATTTATTTTACACTTAATTTCATCAGATTGGTTTCAATATTGATTACATAGAAAGCACAAAGTTAATTGTCACAAGATGTACAGCTCCTGAAGCTCTTCAAATGCAAGGAGGGAACTAAGAATGCAATGTTCATTTTCCCTCTAAATAACCACATTTAGGCGTTTTGAAAGGAAGCTGGCAGCTTTTAGGTCCCTTATTTTTCAAAGAGCCTAGAACCCATATTATTCAGAAAAATTTAGGCACTTATATCTCAGTTACCAAGGGTCTTGGAAGCAACGGAGATAAACTTGAACTGATGATCTAGTTCTCTGTACGTAGTTTATTCCCTGTGGGTGGCTGCAGCACCATAATGAAAACACTGAAATCTATATAGGTAACAGCTAACTGTCTGCCATTTTTTCATGGGTGCACTGAAGTCCATCTGGTCGACTAGAAAGATTTGGAGAATTGCCGAATATTAAGAAGCGAGGCTCACCTCTTTCTTCCCTGAGCACCTAGCTGTGATATGGCTCCTATAGTCAATATAGTCAATATAAAGTCAATGTCATTGACTTCACTGTACCTCGAGCGATAGCCAATTGCACTTTGGCAGAGCGAACCATGCACTCAGCATCTGTCACTCTCTACCTCGATTGGGGCAGCAAGGTAATCAGTGTCAGGTAGTAGACGGAAAGTTGTAATATATGTACACGAATACTCTTAACAAATTAATATTATCAGCAATAAATACCAAAATAAACCCAAGAAAGGGATATACATTATCCCGAGCCCAGAATGTGCCGATTAGTGCTTCACCAGTAAAGAGGAACGAAGTATTGGGAAACGAATATATGTACGTTTTCGTACGTATGAATTATTAAGTACGAATAAATGGGGCCTGACAGCTGAGTGGACAGCGCTAGGGATTCGTAGTCCTAAGGTTCCGGGTTCGATCCCCGGTGGAGGCGGAAATAAATGGGTAGAGTTTCTTTCACCCCCTGATTTCCCTGTTCACCTAGCAGTAAATAGGTACCTGGGAGTTAGACAGTTGCTACGGGCTGCTTCCTGGGTATGTGTAACAAAAAGGACGCCTGGTCGAGGACCGGGCCGTGGGTACGCTAAACCCCGAAATCATCTCAAGATAACCTCAAGATATCTTAACATACGTAAGAATTAAGAGATCAAGACAGAACGAACGAAGTGTTATTTTCCACCAAATCCAGACAGATCATAATTTTAATAATTGTAAACAAAATGTGTAAATATATACATTATACACACAAATCACAATAACGTGATATGTCAAATGAACAAATCCACATGGATTTGCCCGAGTGTATGGGGGAATTGTGTAAAACCCTGGCTAGGCTTCAGTGTAAGCCTCGGGATCCTTATAGGGTCAGAAGCACTCCAGGTTGCAATTCTTTGACCATGTCGTGGGGCAGTTGACTAGAAGACGTCTGTGAATACTCAGTGCACAGATTTGAACCCC